CTAATTGAAAGAGTTATGAAAGAAACTGATGAAAAAATTTGGGATGTGCAAGTGGGATTTAGGAAGGGAATGGGGTGTACAGATCAAGTCTTTTCCATGCGCATGATCGCGGAGAAGTTTTTGGCGAAAAACCAAAAAGTTTTGTGTGGATTCATGGACTTGGAAAAGGCTTATGACAGAATGGACAGGGATGTGTTAGGGCGAACGCTGAATTCATTTAGGTTGGTTTAATACAGACATTAAAGTCTCTGTATAGGGACTCGAGTGCTTATGTTAGTTAATGAACTGTATTCAGCAGGGATGGGAGATATGATAAGGATATTGAACGACGAGTGAATGCAGAAAATAAAGTAAAGAGGGCTCTACACTCTATTTTGAAAAGTCAGAATGTGTCAAAAAAGGTACGTAAGGCAATTCACAATGCTGTATTAATCCCTACTTTAACGTATGGTAGTAAAAATTGGGTGTGGCAAAAGAAGCACGAGAGTAGAATAAATGCAGTAGAAAAGCAGTCGCTAAGAAGTATGTTAGGGCTGAATCTGAGTGACAGTGTGAGAAACTGTGTGATAAAAGAAGAGTGTGGTTTGCAAGATGATGCGGTGACCAGGATTAAGAAAGGAATGCTTTGGTGGTTTGGTCGTGTAGAAAGAATGAATGAGGAAAGACTGACAAAGCAAATATATGTCGCAGAAGTGAATGGAAGAGTCGGAAAGGGACGTCCTAGGCGAAATTTGTCGACCAAATTGGCGATTTACTAAAAATGGGCCAAATTAAGAGTACCCTTAACCGACGAGCATGTATGCGTAGGTATATGGATGTGGAAGAGGCGAGAGAGGTATGTCAGGATCGAGTATATCGATATATATATATATATATATATATATATATATATATATATATATATATATATATATATATATATATATATATATATCTCGAAATCTAATAAATATATATAGTCCAGGGGTTTGGGAATATATATAGTAACCGGATGACCTTGCTTTGCTCGGTTTTTTTAAGTTACATTTATATACAAATTACATGAATAATAGTTTTTGATCTTATTATATATATATATATATATATATATATATATATATATATACAACATTTCACAACGGCGCTTCGTTTTAAAGTGCCAAACTTTCCTGCGGTTGGGTTGTACCTTTTATCGCGGCGGCGCCTCTGACAAGATGAGACACGTGCCAAGGCGGTATGACACCAAGATTGCGACCGTATGTACGGTACGGTACGGTGAAATATGCATAGTTTTCATATGATTTCAATACATATATACTGCCTCGTTGGGCTAATGGTTGTAGTTGTGCAACTGCTGATCATGAAGTCCTGGGTCCGAATCCCGGGTCGGTCCAAAAATCAATTAGTTTATCTGTCAAGAAATTCTCAGTAGCTGCCCGGAGTCAGGAAGTTGGCGGTGTCTCACCCCCGTGCCTGGGAAAGCACGTAAAGCCGTTGGTCCTGCGCCTGACCTCTCTCCCGGTTGTGTCGGTTTACCGTCCTATCGGATTACGAGAGTGAGGTAATAGAGAGTGCACCTATGCTTGCACATACACTTGGGCACTATAATCCTGTCCTGCGCCGATGGGCGCAGGACAGGATTAGCTCCGTTGAGGCAGGCCGCTGTGGCCGAAATTCGGTCTGGAGGACATTACATATATAGGTACATACATCGTTTAGGTACTTTCACGCCTGTCACCCGGAGGGGTAGGTATATACTGCGGATTTCGATATGGCAAGATCTTGACATACCTCGCTCTTTGTCTTCTTTCACATCACACACAAAATCACAATAACGTATTAGGTACCTATATTAATGTGATTTAAACTTTTATTAGATTAAATACGTAAACGGCATAATTTATATTATAATGATTATCGTATTAAGCAAGATATAATTTTTATCGTGTTATCTGTTATCACCATGTTCCCATTGTTGATAAATTTTGAATAAAATTATTTTTACGGATTACATAACACTTCATTTACATTTTATAAACTTAGAAATTGGCGGCATTTCATCCGCGTGGCGTGGCACGAGCATGAAAAGCCGTTAGTCCTCCGCGTAATCTCTTTTTGGTCGTGATTGCCATACCATCGATACACACAAAAAATACTGTTGACCCTACAGGCCGTACCTGCAACTTAATTACAATAAGTTGCAAATTCCGCTAATTTTAAATTCAAAGCGCTTCTAATTTCACCTGTTACGATGTTTTTGAGGTCTTCGAGCTTTTTCGAGCTTTTTTATTTTGATGAGATTTGCGGCAATCGACGCCGTTTCTTGAGCTTAACAAAAACATTTATCAAAAAAAATATTTGACGAAAAATTTTCAAGTTATTTTGAAAAAACCCTTTTGCGATTTCTTTCGAACGAACAGCAGATTTTGTTGCGGTTCATGGCAATCAGCGTTGTTTTTTGAGTAGAAGAGCTGATTAGATTATAGAATTGATCAAAATAAGGGTGTTGAAGTAATTACCAAAAAAAAATCACTTTCTGAGATTTAAAAATATTCGAATTTTTGTGGTTTCTTCAGAATCTACAGTGTCGGTTTAGTCTAACTTCACAACAAAAATCTAAGTTCAGCGAGGCTTTTTAAGACACCGCAAACTGCTTTTCGATTAGACACTTCGTTACAAAGTTATGAGGTGTTTACATGTTTACACACACACACACACACGCACGCACACACACACACACACACACACACACACACACACACACACACGCAGACAGGTGCGCGCTCGCGCGCTCGATCGCTAGCACGCACGCACGCATAGCAAAATAACCATAATATCTTCCTAGGACGTCGAAACGTCGAGATAAAAACTCGATTTTCAAAAAACGGGGTGAAAACTTATATAATAACTACCCGATATTTTGAAAATCATGATTTAACAGCAGGAAGTTAAAAATTAATCAAAATCGATCCAGCCGTGACAAACGCTCGTACAGAACAATAATATATATAAAGATTATTATGAAATATATGTTTTAAGTCAGCTATATCATTTGTTTCGATTTTCCTTTAATTCAATACTTGATTCAAATATGTATAATACGTACATTTAATTTAAAGGATTCTCATTGCAGACTTAATATTTCTACACAAATTACTGCATAACAAAATCAAAAGTACGCACCTCTCGATCACGTGAAATTGTCCCTACAGTTCCTCGATATTCAATTCGCAAACTGTTTAGCATACCTTGCCACAAAACAAATTTAGGCGCGCATTATCCCCTAGCCAGAATATGTAACACATACAATGAAATTATGACCAAGATACCGGACATCGACATTTTCAACGACTCTAGCGCCCATTACATTATCCAATTTGCAGAGCGCTAGATTTAGTGCTGGCAGCGAACTATAAAAGAGCTCGCGCGCACTCATTACACTAGACTAACTAGCGAAGCTAGTTTAATTTCCTTTCATTTCTGTAGTGATCGTCGTCCAAAGAGAATCTTTCAAAAAGCGCTAAACGAATATGGTACTATCAAACCCCCAGAAAGTTAACATTGCTTTAGCAATGGTATTAAGAATCGTAAGTCAAGTTTAATGATAATTAATTTGAAAAAAAAAACGCAAAAAATGTTTGATGAAAGAATATTTATTGCTGAGACCAAAACTGTCAAATATTACGTTGGTACTCTTATTAGTTTATGGTCAAATAGGAACAATGTGAATCCTTTGTAAACTTCGAGAAGCACTTTATTTCCATAATTTCTTATATCTTTGTTTTTATAATCCTTATGTTTTTGATCCCAAAGAAATGGCATGTTTTGTATAATTCATTATTTTCCATTTAAGAGCACTTCCTTTTCCTTAGTCGATGGTTGCGTCACGTCACTTTGAACTTATACCAAAAATACGTCCTGTTAGAGCGCACGCCGACTGACTGACTGACCTAGCATAGCTAGTGTATAGCACGCTAGAACGCTACACCATGCTAGTTAGCTAGCTAGTGTACGATATGAGCTAGCGCGGCAGAGTCCATGAAATCTCACTAGATTTGATCACTAGCTGTCTAACTGCCTTTACACAATACAAATTTAGCATGCTAACTCACCTAGCGCTCTGCAAATTGGATAATGTAATGGCTGCTTTACACAATACAAATTTAGTACGCTAGTTCACCTAGCGCTCTGCAAATTGGATCATGTAATGGGCACTTCTGCCCGATGCTTCAAAAAAAATTGACCAATTTCTTTTCACCCTCTCAGCACACACGCATTCCTTAGTTAGTTTTTTTCTTAATATAAGTTATTTTGTATTCAGTACCATTATAATATAATAAGCTACATATTACGATAAATGTTGTGTATACCTGTAATTGGCAAACATATTTAACCATATACATTTGTTATTGTGTTGTTGTTAATATTTCATGTGTTTTGCTGTTGGTGTACCTTATAAATAAATAAATAAATATGGTTGCTTTAAGTTTATTTTTAAGGTATTTTCTATTTTCCTGATTACTTGATCAAGTGGATCATCATGGCACTTGATTAGGTTTCAATAAACTTATCATGTTATGTTACTTATTTTATACCTTCGTGATCATAAACTATTAAGAAAAACTAGGAATGCAAACCCATAATTGTGTTATGATAGTATAATTAGACCATTTTTTAAAAAAATATTATTTGCTAATTAATCATCAAACAATGTTATCACCTGCAATATTAAAAACATAATCTTAAATTGTGTTGTAATTTCAATTCGCGTTATTTTTGTAAATAAGGACTTATTGTTCGTGTGTGTTTTGATAAAAAAAGTGTTGGTAGTGAATGGAACTCGGCTTGATAATATCGAAGTGCACAGGAAGTTTCGTTATCTATACGGGCCTTATCGCGTGTCGATGACAGCAATTGGGAGTTGCAAATGTTCATGCGAATTATGTCATTCATAAGTGGAAGTCCGTTTGAGTGAGATCGTGTTGCGATAGCTGCGTGAGTCTACGTCGTCGATCGATAATATGGGAGTCAACTGTAAGTCACTGCTTCAAATTCAATTGAGACTTGTGGCATAGTTTTACAATATTTTCGTCCCACTCTTTAGCACGGGCTTTCATTTGTGAAAGAGTTTTTGGAACAGCAAAGACTCTGCTACGCTGCAAATCGTGGTAACGGTCGTCATACGTCTCTGAAATATTTATAACTTATCAGACAAGTAGATTTTTTGTGATGATTTCACTGCCAAGCACGTGGTAAACCAGCAGTTAAAAATGCAATCTACAATTTCATTGCCACCATGACTGCATGCGGTGCCTTGCTGATGATGTACTAGAATCTAATCGACTGATGGCAGAAAATCTGAACGTAAATCTAAAATCACAAACTGGTATACGGAAGCAGTACTACTTCTGCCTGTTTTGCGTGGGGATAGTGTAATTATTGAGGCAATGCTTCCGAACTTGGACTTTCTCGGCAAGGTTATGGCCTTTGGTTGACGGCAATATCACAATCTAAGACGGATGTTAAATACTCAACCGACGACGGTCAGTGACGACAAAGAAACGATCGAAAATTCGACTGCCAAGAGTGTCGATTATAGAACATTCTCTCTGCAATAAAAGAGTCCTACGTCGAACAGTGGACTATCAGTCTTAAACAGGCTTAAACAGAAAAAGAAGCTAGTACAAGAAACTAATTTTTATCTAAAATTTTATTTACGTCTTCAACTCGTTTTAAATATTTTTATTCCTCTAACTCTACATTTTTATGTATGCCATTTCAATAAATACTCATATCAAATACAACTTTACGTGACTAAATAAATATTCTGAGTTGTTTACTTAATAAATATTAACATACATAACAAAAGTAAAAGGTGAACTTCCGGCGACCTGTAATTTGTAAACTTAATTAGTGTTGTTACTTCGCTCGCTTAATATCACATGCGATCTCGAGACGCGAGCTGAGCGGTTATTTTTTGCTTTTCTGCTATGTTACGTAATAATTGTATCGAAGTATTTGTTTAATTGTCGAAAGTTTGCTCGCAATAAAAGCATATGAAGTTAAAGAAGTAATTCTTCCTACTTCGTTCACCAGTCGAGACGACCCATTCGCACTGCAGCCTGCATACAGTCGTACCTTAGATCTTCCTTGTACGTAAACTTATTACTTATTGGTTCTGCCAATCGTTAATAGACTTAAGGTTAGGATTACCACGCTGGATAATAATTAAGCATAAAGCATAAACACTCACGCCTGTTACCCAGAGGGGTAGGCAGAGACCACGGACTTCCATTTGACACGATCCTGACATACCTCTTTCGCCTCCTTTACATCTATATATCTACGCATACATGCTCGTCGGTTAAGGGTACTTTTAACGTGGCCCATTTTCAAAATATCGCCAATTTGGTCGATAAACTTTTTTCTAGGGCGTCCCTTCCCGACTCTGCCGTTCACATCTGCCATATAAATTTGTTTTGTCACTCTTTCCTCATTCATTCTTTCTACATGACCAAATAATAATTGTTAATTATTATTTGGTCATGTAGAAAGAATTTATGAATATAATTTATTTTATATTATTTTTTTTTTATTGTTACCATGGATAATAATTGTTTCATTTAAATTTATTAACTACTCTAGAACTCTAAGTCTACTGGTGAACATATATCTCCCCATGGATCGCCTCTTGAGGAAGACGTTTACCGTAGTTGTCACGCATCAAACATGTCATTGACATCAACCATTTTGCATTTGTGTCAGGAAGATTTGTTACAATTGAAGTGAAAACTTAGTACTTCATTTGATGAAGTGTAGCCATTTAGTACGGTTTTAAATAATGTCACGTTTTCTTGTAACTTTTTACCAAAGCTGCATGAGTATTATAATTGTAAAATATATAATAAAATAGAATGATATGTCGTAAAGAAATTTCACTTCGTACATGTGTACATTATTGTGTATGCATGATTAATCAACCTATGTACTACCCAATGCTGAACATATCATCTCACTTCTGGGAGGCTTATAGAGCAATTAGTACGTCGTGCTACTCTAGTGCGTGTTGCCGGTTTTCACAAGTCTTCGAGAAATATTTTTTCCGTCAGATATGCAATATAAAATTGCAATTAACACTTTCAATGGTACCGGCGACGGCGTTCGAATACGTGTTGCTCGGATATTGTAATATTTACAGCGAGCTATAGCGTTTTCTTTCCTGAGCTTTCACGGCTCATCATTTTATTAAAACATCTTATAAGTAAACGTTGTGCGTTAAACTTATATATATATATATATATATATATATATATATATATATATATATATATATATATATATATATATATATATATATATATATATATATATATAACCCTAACTTTCACTAGTCGAGTGTCTCATCATTGTAGTTTCTATGCGTGATTTTCTTTTGAGATTTACGAGAGCCGTGGTAGTTTAGGAGCTATATGTTTATAAACAACATAATGTTAATAAAACATTATAGAACCAATTATATGTAATCCAATTTTTTCTCTAAATTTAAATATGAATTATCATAAGAAACCTTTATAAAATAAAAAGCGAAGGGTTTTTATCGAATAGCAATTAAATTACCTACCGTGTTGCGCAGATGCATCTCCTTGCAACGCTTCTAAAAGCTAATTGAAGAACAAATTGTATCCTTTTAATAATTAGTCTCGCAAATATATGAGCAGTCGTCGCATACTTGTACTCGAAACACGTAGATAATTTATTTCTTATGGGCCCTAATAATATATAACCTACATGTCACACACCTGTATCTACTTCTCTATTTGACTGTTCGTATTATTCAAAATTATAAATTACAGTTCTAGAACAATAATCCGATTAATATTGAATGCTGTTCGAATTTCAAATTCGGTCGTTATTTACGGGTTCACTTAAATTAAAACAGCCAATGTGATAGTAGCTCTGTGACAAGGCAAGGAAATCATTTTATGGTTTGTGAGTAAACTACGAGTACATTAAGAAACTTGTATGTAGAACATGTATATGTGTACGTTCACATTATATAGTTCTTCAACTCGCACTAGATCAAAGAAAAACCTTGAAATCTTCTGTCTACCTATTTACGGAATCTTAAAGAAGAGAGAGGGAGGATCATAGAGACAAAAGACTCTGCAGGGCACGATTTACATACTTCTGCTTTAGTTTCTGAGTGTACAGAATAATAAATTTGTAATTATTTACGTATATTAATAACTAACGCATATTTCTTCATACCTAGTACATTTCATAATGATTAGTACATTTCATATTAAATCCTGGCCATCCTAATCATAACCTCCGCCTCTTTTCAGATTATTATCCCCAAGAATCATATCAAAAGTACACCACAATGGGTGTTTCTGAGGTGTCAAAAGACGATTCTCCTAGAACCACTCCAGAGTTACCTCGTACTGACCAGTCTCCGGCATCAGAGCGTCCTCCGCCTGGATCTGCTGACAGTGACGACGCTGATGATTTCACTCCAAAGAGAAAGCAAAGACGATATAGAACAACCTTCACGAGTTTTCAATTAGAAGAACTGGAGAAAGCTTTCTCCAGAACGCATTACCCAGATGTTTTCACTAGGTGAGTGACGCATTATTGTAGTTTTATACATAGCTTTTAAGTTTTTCAAAAAAATACAAATAGAGCCTTAAAGTACTTTTTTTTTTTTTTCAAAGTATTCACCACGTAGTTTAATACACTTTTCCGTTCGTTCGAACCAGTTATTAAAAAATTTATTCTACTCCAAATTGGAGGTGTTCTATATGGCTGTTTTGAAAGCATCGACTGCTTCTTCCCCGAGCTGGAACCTTTGACCATGAAGATTCTTCTTAATTTTTGAAAATGTAAATAAATCTTTAGGACTTAGGTCAGGACTGTATCGAGGATGGTCAAGAATTTATACGTTTTCCTGTTTCAAATACTCAATCGTTTGACCAGCGCTGTGTAAGCTTGCATTGTCACAGTGTAGGATGATGCGTCGTTTTGGGTTAGATTTTGGAGGTTCGGAGATGACTTGTGATAAACAACTTATGGTATACCACTCTGAATTAATTGGAAGACCCAGATTGTAGATTGTTGTTTGGTATCGGGATCCAAGATTCGTTCCCAGTGATGATGACTTAGACGTGATTTCACTCTCCTCGGTTGAAAATTTTGAAGAGTTTTCTTATACTATCTGACGCGGGGCGCTTTATGATCGTCGGAAAACAAATGCGGGATCCAACGGCAAATTAGCTTTATCACACCAAGCACTTCATGTAAGATTTTCTAAATGGTTGTTCAAGATCGTCATATGTCATATCTCTCAATATCACATGACGATCTTCAAGAATTAGTTTTCTCATAGTAACGATGTTATCATCAGTGAAGGCGGATTTTGGACGGCCTTCAAGAGATTTGTCGCTAAGATTTGTATGTCCACGCTGAAATTTTAAATACCAGCGTTCGACAGTCCGCAGACGTGGGACTTTATAATGGAACACGGAAATTCAGTTGGTTTGAGATTCTGACTTTAAGCAAATTGGGATATTAAACAGTTCCAAATTCAAAATTGCCGATGAATATGTGTACGGAATAACTTAAAAGGCGTGCTAATATGCGCGCGCTAAGTGATGTGTGAGTGATTATGAGCTAAATGCTTGCTGTAAATTTAAGTGCTCGAGCAACCCAGGTTCGATCCCTGCCAAAACAAAGAAATTATTATTTGCTTAACACGGCTCATCGGTGAAAGAAAATATTGTGAGAAAACCTGAATGTCATTATGATTAAAAAGTAGTAGACCGGGGAAAAAGTTTTTTAGTACTATCTTGTTTGTATAAAATTTAAAAAAAAAATCTCTTAGGTTTGTACTGTTTGTATATGGCTGGTTTTAATATCCATAATACATATAGGTCATTAAGAAAAAGAAAAATAAAACGTAATAAACACTTTCTCTCCATTTTTCAATTATTTTCTGTGAAGAAATTCGATACATTCTGAAGATTCATTACAAAAAAGGGAAAAATGCGACTCACGCCGCGAAAAAGTTTATGACTTTTATAAACCTAATTCAGTCTGGCAACTTTTATGTCAAAGATGCAGCTCGCTCTGGTCGCCCTCATAGAATTAATTAATTTTTTTTATTCAATATAGATTACAAGTAATTCTTATTGAAAGTCAATATTTTACGTTACCACTGTTTCGAAAAAAAAAACCTCCGTCCTGGGAAGAACCAGCAAGAACCCAGCGGGACTTTTTTTTTTTAATAAATTTTACAATGTCAAGGGACACAGAATATTTACAAAATTTATTTAAGAAAGAGCTTGGAACCGACAACCTCATTCCCAGGGGTTATTATCAACCATGTGTTCATTTATATCATAATAACCCTTTTTATACAGTTTTTGTTAAATTAAATATTCAAACTTGGTAATAGAGAGACCTTGTATATTTTCTGGGACTTTGTGTTGACTTATATAGCGTATTGACATTGCCCCAAGAATGAATTACTGACTCTGTGGAGCCGAGAAACTGGTAGCACCAGCTTCTGTTTATTCCTAGTGTTTAGTTCCTAGTTCTTATTCTTTATTTTTGTGAACATACATAAAATTTTCATAGATATACTGAGAGGCCAAAGTTAATATACTTATTTCTTTAAATTTTTCTCTAAGAGACTCTCTCGGTTTAAGATTGTAAAGAGCTCTAATGGCAAAACTATCTGCAATATATTCTGCAAAACAAAAATATTTTCTAAATCAGCCACATTCCCCCATAGCAAAATTCCATATGACATTATGCTATTGAAATAACTGAAATTAACTAATCTAGCTGTCTCGACATTAGTGAGACCTCTAATCTTTTTTACAGCATAAGCTCCAGAGATTAGTCTGCTTGCTAGTTTAGATATGGGGGCCCCACTGAAGCTTAGCGTCGAGAGTGATGCCAATAAAAACAGAGGACTCAACAGAACTCAGTTCATCCCCATTTAAAACACATTGGTATCCGGATTATTAACATTTGTTGTTATTACATACGTATAAAGAAGAGGTCATTTAAAAAAAAGTGAAACAAGATCGGCATGTTGGTAGTTACAACATAGCTGAGGAATTGAGAATCGACCACAAAACAGTTCTGGCCCATTTGAAAAAGTCTGGCTATACAAGCTCGATATTTGGGTACCACACGGGCTCACTGAAAGAAACCGAATGAATCGTGTACTCATTTGCGATTCTCTATTGAAACGTAATGAAAATTTTTTTCAAAAGATTGATCACTGGTGATGAAAAGTGGATCACCTACGAAAAGAACGTGCAAAAAACATCATGGTTAAAGGTTAGTCAAGCTCCACAGACTGTAGCGAATCCCGAATTAACACGCAATAAGGCGATGCTGTCGGTATGGTAGGATTGGAATGGAAGGGCATCGTTTGTTGTGAGCTTTTACTGCCAAGCGAAACTCTCTACTGCCAACAACTAATGAGACTCAAGCAAGAAATTGGAAAAAAACGACCGGAATAGACCGGCAGAAAAGGAGCGGTCTTTTATCATGTATCCAGACCACAATTGACCAGCACATATATAGTGAGCTTTGTTAAGAAGTATTAATGCATCCACCATATAGTGCTGACTTTGCACCCTCAGATTTTCATATATTTCGGTCATTTTAGAATTCTTCGGGTAGTGTTAGGTTAACATCAAGAGAGGACTGTCAAAACTACTTGTCGCATTTTTTTCATCAAGAATTCCAAGATTTCTACAGCAATAGGACTACCTACAAGATGGCAACAAGTTATCGAACAAAGTGGCACATATACATTATAGTTAAATTTTATCAAACTTTGAAAAAACATCTCTTGAATTTATATATAAGATACGAAGAACATTTTTCTCCGACCTATTACATGCATATATCGAAGACACGTGACGTCCGCAAAACATGCGTTGGTGCAACACAGCCGACATATCCTTGCCCTAAACCTCTGAACTGAGAGGCCTGTGTCCAATAAGAGGACGTATTTAAGCTGTAACTTAAGTTAATGTGTGATTTCAGAACAGATATTTGCTTTTTTTTTTCTTCTTAAGATACACAGCTACTATTAGAGTATATTGTAAGTTATAAAATCATTCTTCCTATTTTGTTGATCTTTCCCTATATTTATTTATACTAAACATGAACAATAACTACGGGATCTTTGTAGCACCTGCACTATGTTACACCGCGGCGGTAAAATTCTAGGACAGATGGAAGGAAGTTTTCAGAAAAAGTAAAGTTAAAGCTATCTACGTCAAGTTAAAGTCGCCTTTTACTCAGTGTCCTACATTCACACGACCAACCCGATCGTTTTTAACTTGAATATAATATCCTAATAGATACCTTTTGGTGAGGTGGCAATAAAAATTTTTGCACAACTTACAGGTTTTTGTGTTGTTTTGTTGTTTGAAATCTCTCTGAAACTGTAATGCACCTGGAACCCCTTAATATCTTTGTTCTTTGTCTTGCAATAAGTAAAGTCAACAACCTCGTCCAGTGGAAACTTTGCAAAAATGCATGCTAGATGGACAACTATTGAAAAAACTTATAAATAGCAGTGTCCATACAGGCTGCTAAGCGAGAAGATTAGATGGCTAGATAAAGTTTTAATTTAGCCTTAGGTAGATAGTTGAAAAGGCTATTAATTCCTGTGTTATCAATATATTCGATTTAATCCACAATATGTACCTTATCAGCATATGAATAAAAAGTACCTAATTCGTAATTAAAAATAATACATACAGTTTCTTATCTACTTAAAATTCTGATTATCAGTATATAGTTTTATTTATTTTAAATCATATAATCTAAACATTTACTACATTTCCGTTTTAAGATATAGAAATAGCGTTATTTGCTGATGATATCACTCTAATGGTTAAACTTGATCAAAGGTAAGAACTTATTTGACGATGTAAATGATGATATGTCTCAAGTATTGGCATGGCTTACAACAAATATCTTGCTTTTAAATGCTAACAAAAATAAATATCAAATGTAAAACAAGTTATTAATATTAAGATGAACACACAAATACTTAACATCATATGGTATCGCTATAGAATCTCCTGAAATTGAAACATAGTTTTGCTGTGTATGCAGTTAAAAATATGTCTGGTAACTGATATGATACAATACTGTTAGTTTAAGTAAACTAAGCTAAGCTCTTTCAATGTATGATGTATTTACTATGGATTATTGTTGGGATCGGCAGCTGATATTGAAAATATATTTATACTACAGAAAAGAGATATTCGTTTCATATGCAATATAGACGAAACGATTCATTCGAAGATCGTTTCAAACAAATAATCATCTTATTTATTGCATAAAAATTCTTTTAAGGTAGTATCATTCATTTTAGAAACTATATTCCTTAATTTTTTTCTATTTTAATAACACTTCGATGAAACATGCTCATGACAACTATATTATTTAAATGGTAAATATTACAAAATTTTAGTCGACATATTGTCAACAAAATATTTACATAATGTGTTTATACATTTATATAAACACATTATGTAAATATTTTATATAGGTTTTCATCGTTCTTATCTTATCGTTTTTAAATAGATAAATATTATATAAAAAAAATTATCATTTCTACATAATATTAAGTTGACAAAGAAACAAACACTAGCTAATATTAAAAATGATAATATAATATAAGGTAATTGACGATATAAGGTACATGAATAAAAAAAAATCAAAACTACACTGCCTTGATCAAAAAGATTAATTTTAATACAAAGGAAAATATTACACGTGTAACATTCTCAGATAATTCATTCAATATTTATTCATTACAGCCTATAAAAGTTCACGGCCTAGAATCACAATTTTTTTTATTTTCCGGTTATTATAAGAAATACGTTATAACCTTGGTTTTTTCCCTGTGTCGCCTCTTCCAACGTCCACGGGATGATATAAATTAATGGATATTCTTATACCGCCACTACACGGTCAATAGAAATCAAATACCAGCATAAAATAACAGCATAATGCTGCTATGGTCCGTATGGTAAATAACGAGAAGCAGAGGCCCTTTTTACTGGTGACGAGACGTTTCATCTTTGCCCTCATGAGCAATAATTCATAAACTGCCTTATATTAGTGATCGAAGGTAAAATGTGTTATGTATATTACAGAATTTATGCCAGAGAATCTTCATACCATAAGATGGACTGCGTGCTCGTTTGTTACTCTTCTAAACAGCAATAAATGATTTATTTGAATTTGTATTTAACTTTAAAGTGAATTAGGAATACAGTCTCTTAAGCTAATCTTAGTCCTTAGCGATGTGGTGGGCGCGTTAGAGAATCCATGATCCCAGTTCATGGCAGGCTCAAAAATATTACTTAAAAATTAAAAAAATGTATTATAATTACAGCCCCTCACAAATCCACTGCTAAACATAATCTAGAGTGACTTCGATTCTACCATGCACCGACTTCTTACATGTCTTACCAAGTCATCACTCCTTCAATTGAAACATACTACTTATATGTTTTTTACTCTTTTATTTGAAAAAAAAAAGTTTAGCAACCGTAACTACTATGTCAAAATATTTTTTTCGCACAAGAACATTATTTTACAAAAATAGGTTAAAATATTTTAAGTACAATATACTAGTGTACTTCTCGATTTCTCATGATTTATATAATTTGATGTTTTGACAATTATTTTAAAAATGTTGTTTTCACAATTAGTAATTTTTGTTACAGAGAAGAGCTCGCAATGAAGATCGGGTTGACAGAGGCACGAATACAGGTATTAAATCTATTCAACTTAATTAATATCGATAATTTTCTTTGATTATGTACACGCAACGGGTTCACGTTATTCGTTATAATTTAACATGAAATAGATTCATTTTAATCAAAAAAAAAATCGAGAACAAACGTTTATAAATTGCAACGTCGCTCTTTGAACTATTTTCTTAATTAAATTTTAACTTTTTCTTTTAAAATTATGAGTTGAGGTTAATTTGAATAATTTCTAGTAAAAATAGTATTGCAAATTTTAGATCATTATCACTATCGAGCATGTGACTCGCCACAACTAGACCTTGACCTAATTTGGTAGGATTTACGCAAATACGCCCAGTAGATGTGTCAACCAATACATCAGCTTCGAAATTTAAACACTGCCTTAAGCATTCCTTCAAAAAGTCCATTATCATTAAAACAATCTAATTCTTATTCATCATTACAGTAATTAATTTTTTTTTGAGAGGGGCCAAACAATCGTACGGCTCACCTGATAGTAAGTATTACCGCCGGCCATGAACAACTGCAAGACCAGAGGAATTGCAGATGCGTTGCCGGCTTTTTAAAAAGGAGTAGGCTCTTTTCTTGAAGGTCCATAAGTCGTATCGTTCAAAAAAAAAAAACTTTGCTGGTAGTCGATTCCCCAACGAAGTTGTGCGAGGAAGAAAACTTCTTTTAAATCGCACAGTGGTGGACCACCAGTCATCCAGATGGTAATCGACGGTATCGCGAATTTTGTCGCGATGTGCGACGGTGTAATTGTGCGGCTGTAATTAGTCCGAACAATTCCTCAGAGCACTCTCCATGGTAAATGCGATTAAATACACACAGAAATGCAACATCTCTTCGCAGTTCCAGTGAGTCAAGCCGACCCGGAGTCGGAGCCCCAGCCCATAGATTTGAACAGTACTCCATGTGCGGCCGAACCTGCGCCTTGTAAAATTGCAAGCGGTGTGTCGGCATGAAATACTGTTACAGTGTGTTACAGCATGAAATACTGAGTACGACGAGCTTTTTAGAGGCCAATTTGGCCTTCTCTTTCAAGTGACCACGAAACTGCACGTCACACAATATGTCGACGTCGAAGATTCTGATACTAGCCAAGGCAACAAGGGGAATACCTTAAAACTGAGGAGATACGACGAAGGGGTTTGTGGCCGTGGAAGGAAAAGGAGAGATCTCCCACCGGGAAAGCTGTTATGCCCGGGGAGCGGCCAACGCTCCGTGTGATAGTTCGGAGATGTTCTATATATACTGTTTATGATTCAGAATTTTGATAGCGTGATTTAGGCTTCGGTGTGTTTCGCTTGCGGCGCGACGACAGCGCCGCTACAGGTTTTTTTTTGCGGTAAACACGTAAACTTGTGTCTTTTCCGAGACTTTGTTCAACAAAGTCTCGACTTCAGACACAAGTTTGTCCTGGTAATCAGCGACGTTTTCCCGAGAAATATTGACACGGTCGGTGCGGTGTATGAAGCATCACCAGTGCTGTCATCCGAATAGAAATGAATGTTACAGGTTTGCAACATATTATTGATATTCAGAAGAAACAATGTTGGTGATAGCACGCAGCCTTATGGAACACCAGCGTTAATGGGCTTGTAATCGAAGCATGCACCGTCTTCTAAGAGCTTGATGCAAGAAAACTGGTGATCCAATTGTACAATTTCTCGGTAATCCCATAGGAAGAAGAAGAAGAACTAACGGCAAACGCCTCCCCCCTTAGACTCTACTACCTCCGCCTATCAATGAATTAGGTGACCCAGAAGATTACCAACTGAGTGACCTACTACCTAACCAGCCTACCACTAATCAGCTGGTGATCCTCAAGGTACTCCATGAGCTGGCATTTTATAATCAATTCCATTATTTTAGGGAAAAAAGGAAGTGATAGCGATAGGCCTGTAGTTAGACGGATTGAAGCGGTCGCCTTTTTTAGGTATCGGGTGCACTAAAGCTGTCTTCCACGATTTCGGGACTACGCCTAGGGAGTAGGAGTACCGGAAAAGATGCGTTAAAACCGGTACCAACTCGGAGCAAACGTCTTCAGCATAATAGGAGAGACGCCATCAAGCCCACTCAAATTGTTAACGTCCAGGGAGAGAAGTGCTCTGTACACCGCACGCTGGGTAAACAGTACATTCTACATGGAGCACTCCTCACTACGCGGGATGATCGGCGGTATGTTCCCCCCCGTCATCAAGCGTCGAGTTGAATGCAAAGACAGAACCCAGCAGGTTGGCTTTCTCCAGCCAGTCCAGTGAGTCGTCCTCCCTGTGCAGAAGTGGGAGAGATGGTTGACAAAAGTTCCCTTAGACAACCTTAGCGAGAGACCAGAATGCACGTGTTCCCGAAGGAAGCCGCACTAGTTTCTCGCCAATTCTGTCGATGTGCTCTGACTTTGCCTTGGCAATGACACTTTTGAAGGACCAGGAGGCGGAATTATACTTCTTTTTAAGAGCGCTGGTATTTGCATCCCGAGGGGTCGATGCGTGAGCCCAGGCCTGGTAGCACTCCTGCTTGTGAGTGATGCAATTTTGCAAGAGTGATCAAACCATTGCTGGGTTCTGCCTCCGATGGGTACCAGAGTAGATGGAATAAAAAGTTGCATTCCCTGTAACATCACATCAGCGACAGAATCAGCAATAACGCTGGTATCATCTGGCGGGAAGCAAACCTGCCCCCAAGGGTAGGATGCAAAAAATATCGCATCCCGTCCCAACCGGCTGATCTATAATCCTAAGCACGACGGCAACCCGCAGAACGCAACCGCGATGGTAGCGTGAGTGGCATCGTACTTCGGATCGGACAATGGTCCGAGAAGCCAAGAGGAGCATCGATGTAGACCTGATATCCGTCTGGATAAGAGGTTAGCAGAAGGTCCAACAGGGAAGGTACGTGATCTTCCACATCTGAGACCCGCGTAGGCGAGTTTGTGTCAGACCATATGCCAAAGTAAATTCATCAACAGATCTACCCGCATGATCAGTTAAACGGGAACTAAACAGCTTGGTTGGCGTTAAAACACCAAGCATCACGATCTCTGCAGATGGGACCTATTGTAGCACGGAATCTCCAGTGAATTGGACGGGGTCGATGAGTAGGTCTGTGTCGGCATTACCGCTATGGGACCTATAGAGGCATCCTTAGACGCGGGGATGGTCGTCGCTGTCTACACGAAGCCATGAGGTGGACAGATCCATACCTTCAGGGCTCCCGAGGTGTCGAAAATAGATTTCATTTCTGACGTACACGCAAACTCCAGCCCGGGGCACAAAGGAGTTCTAATTTGTACCCCGGGTAGGAGAGATATGAAGTATCAGCCGAAAAGGACACCTGTGTCTCGGTTAGAAAGAGCAAGGCTGACTTCGCCGTTTCCAGATGCAAGTGATGGCACAGCGGTCAGCTTTCTTTGTTGGGAGTGGTGCTGGGATTGGTGGTGATGGGGATGGTGCACCCAACAGAGATAGTGCGGGCTCTTTGAACTAGGTGAGGCACATCATTTTATTTTATCGCTCGGAATTGAGCAAATAAATTTTGACACCATAAATATAATTAATGGATTTACCCAAATTAATTATTTTATTTACCTGTTCAACCTGACCGTGTTTATGAACATAAAGATTACATTACATAATTTAAAAACCATATAATTTTAAAGGTTATATATATATATATATATATATATATATATATATATATATATATATATATATATAAAAATGCTTACAAATGGCTTAGCAAGATCATCAGTTATGCCGAAAATATTGCAGCATTAATTTTGAAATAAATATATTGTAAAGTTGAGGATTAATTTTTTATTTTTATTAGATATTAAGTACCTACTATGTTAGTCGAAAACACGATTCCGTAAAATTTTCTCGATAGAAAAAAAATCCAAAGTTAAATAAACCGCTGGTATTCATAAAATACTTTAAATTACATCATGTAACTCTGCATACTAACTGAACTAACTATAAGCTTATGTTTTTTTAAAATTAGCGTTATGTTCACTGTAAAAAGAAATTACCTAAACTATCGGCGTCTTGAAGTTTGTTTTCTGCCACCCTATCAGTCTCGCTTCGGCTTTCGAACGGGAAAGCTGTGTCGCTTACAAACAGAATACACATTACGCAACAGGACGATGTAAAATTAAAATGAAATAACCGTAATAAAAATAAGAAGCGACTGGGTTGGCGTAAAGAAACAGGAATAAATATGATAAACCTAATGAAATAAGTATCTAACGACCTCCTTACAATATTAGTGATTACAAACATGTCAGTACATAGCATACGTCGCGCGGGGAAGTGGAGGCGAAATTAGAATTTGAGCTGGGTTACTATAGCCCCTTAATAATATAATATGACCGCGCTACCAACTGCGGTTGTAGGACGGCGCTAAGATAATTCGCGAAGGCTAAGCTTCGTTGTCTTCACGGTTTATATTTTATGAAACAATTTTAAATGTAAGATAACATTTAAACAGCCTACTTCACAAATAATCGTATACATAATCGTATTAATATTCGTCCTCAAATATTCGTTAATATTTATAAGTAATACAAAATTCAATAAGAAAGCACATTGAACATTATAGAAAACGGTATTATCGCCTGGTAATTAGTCAATAGTTATTTTTCAGTTACTCCTTCAAGTTGTTCCGTTATTTAATTAGCTACTACAATTAATGTACGTTGTTATAAGGGTATTAATTAATAGGTATTATGCAAATACCTTTTAAATTAATCGTTCTAATTACTTACAAATATTTTTTATAACCACATGACAATTCCGTTTTGCATTACATTAACAAATAGAAAAGGATACCGACTACAAGTGGAAGAATGTCAATGGTTATGTACCATATATGCGTGCGTAGAAAAACCTATCATCTACATTAGGGTTTACGAATAATGTGAAATTATTCTTAGAATGTCTTTTATGTTGGTAGCTATCAATTAACATTTGCGCGGGCATACATTAATATAAGTACGCTTTT